CTTTCTTCTGTAGCATCGATTGAATCCAGTTTCTTGGGATTTGAGTGGTTTGAGATGAGATTAAGCAGCTTCTCACTTCCCTGAAATGTCAATAAAAGATGAGTCCGGGTTTAAATAAACATCTACGATGATGAAACTGTATACCGGGAAGTAAACATGACAGACCTGAAGAGCTCGCCAGTGGGAATATGTGCGGAATAAGACCCAAAAGAATGGTATGTTCGGTAATGGCAATACCTAAAAAAGATTGGTAGTTACGAGATTTGAAAGAAAAAAAAAGCGAGTTGCGCTAAGGTTTCTTGAGGCAAGATTCATATTATACATACCATGAATGCACTGGTCAATGGAAGCAAAGTTACTGAACCCATTAGGTACTTCTTGTGCAAGATTGTTCCACTGAAAATCGAGACGATAAGCAATCGTGTTAAAGATTCCAAATCTATGACTACCGCTACATCATTCGAGACAATGTGTAGCAAAGCGAGTGTGTAGCAAAGTGAGTTTACCTCATGGCAATGTGTCGTAGTCTTCTGCGTACAAGTCTAGAATCTAAACTGAAACATTTGACACAGATTAGCTAAACCCATAAACCAATCTGAATTCACAAGAACATACTCATGAAGGCTCATTCATTAGAGAAATACTGGTCCTCAATTCAAAGAAAAAGGAGAGTGAGTAGAACCTAGGAGGATAAGTGACTTCTACAGAAGTGACCTCTTTCGATATCGACTTCAAGAAAATCTCAGACGGCTTAACACGAGCAAGAAGCTTCAATCCAAACCTAATACACATACAACCACAAAGACCACCATTCAACATTTACCCTACCAAAAACACAGACCAAAGCCATAATGTCGCAATTTACAAACCCATGAATCTTGTTCTTCATTGATCCTTGAGGAGCTATCTCAAGACCCATCCACGCTTTATTCATCTACACCATTACAACAACAAGAACACATCAAACCAATAAAAAACCCATCTTTTTCTCATTTCTATCAGAAACATAACCAAAGGTTGTTCATTGGTCTATAAATCTCACTACAGGCCACATAAAGCACACGGGTTTCTTTCTATATAGAGAAAAAAGTTTCAATTTTTACCTTGTCAGAGATGAAATCGACGAGAAGCTCTGCGTTAGCATTGATGGGTTTAGATTCAGAAGAAATCTTCTTCCATAAACCTCGTAAAGTGGTCGGAGTAACACCAGAAGGAGATTGAGAAGCGAAAGGATCAACAGATCTGCTAAAACACCACTTCTTCCCTTTAATCGGGAATACAACCAATCTCGCTCTCATGTTCACTCTTCAAAAAACAGAAAAGCTAAAAATCCAAACTTTCAAAAAAAAAAAGCTCCGATCTTTGGTTAGAATTTGTCAATTTTTCATATGGCGTAAACGACGTGGGTTTGTAGTATATTCAAAGAAAAAATCAAACCTTTAAGGATTTGGATTAAAAGAAAAAAACCGACAAAGCCTAAATATTTCACGAGGAAAGTCGACGAAGCGGCGGCGAGTCTCTGTATTATAAATATACACACAAAATTGTCTTAAATTTGACAAAATTTATATACACAAACACTTAAGTGTATGTAAATACAGAACACAGTCTTTGAAATCCATTTGCAATTTGGTAACGGTTAGTGTTTACTTTTAAAATCATGAGCTATTTGGATAAGGTAATTAGAAACTGACATATCACTAAGAAAGTTTCACAATGAGTTACAGTAAGTATGGCTTTTATTGTATGATACAGTAATAATCTATGCACAAAAAGAAGAAGAGAGAATTAGACAAGACATTGTGTGTTACTCTGCACTCGTTTGCTAATTTATTCATGATCTGCTATAAAATTCGGCTGCTCGTTTGCGCAGAGATACTCATCGCAATTTGAAGCAGTTCCCCAGTCTTTTCTAAGTCTGAGTATATCCTCTGTGAAAGTAGAACCCGAGGCACCGATGAACACGCTTGACATTGCGGATATCGTCTTGTCCAACATTGCTTCAACCTTTACAAGGTGAAAATTTCAGTAATGACTTTCTGTTTCGTGTATGATTCTATTCTTTTGAAGAGAGGAGATGTTACCTGAGAGTCGCCCTCGAGACCATGTCTGTATAACAATGCATCCCATTTCTCAGCTGAATCACGAGGTGGTCGCTTCACGAGAGGAACAGTCTTTCCATTTAGGTTCAACAGTGATTGTAGCAGACTAGTTTCGCTTTCAGCTGCATCGGTAGAAAGGTAAATAACCGGTGCTTCGACCTTCTCAATCAGACGAGTGATGCAGCTAGCAGCTTGAGGAATCGGGTAAAAGCAACTTGGATTCTTGGCGTTACTGTCACAAGAAGGAAAATCACTTAAAAAGGTTCATAGTGTAATCAATGTTCAGCGATTTAAGATATGAACAGAAACTTTGTAACGCCGATACTTTAATTCATAAATAGAATTCGCTTAAACTAAGTAGATGTGCAGCTCCATTTATCCAATCACAAAAGTACAACCACATTACTTAATCGTTACCATATAATCATTCTATCATTTGGTCAAGACTAAGATACCTGCATTATAAACAAGCGTAGAGTTTAGCTATATGCACAAAGTTCTCACTTTCAGTGACCATACTACAAGAGAACCTAACAAGCAATCAAAGAAATGGAAACAGCACCATACCAGAACTTTAAGAATCCATGCCTACGGAAATGAAGAGCAATGTAGTTTTTCCCAAGGAAAGTCTGGATGAATCGTTGTGCAGTGAGCAAAATTAACCGGTTTGGTTCAATCAAAGTCTTGCACTTGTGAGCAATAGGACCACCAGGCTGCATCACCCATTCTCTCTCAACATTCGCATAGAACACATCACCAATCGCAATAACATCATCATCCGATCTAAAACTAGTCTCGACTTCCTCAGCAGTCTTATTACTCGGCTTCGCGATATCTTCTTCCCACGGTGTATCTAACTTCCCACCAATGGTAATTCCCAAAGCTTTTAACTTTGTAATATGCTCTTTATCTACATAACACGGTTCCGGTTTTGAGAAGTAACATATGAATCTATTGATATGCACATGATGATGCTTCTTCCTGTTCTTATCTTTCTTCCAAAACTCATCAAAAGAAACAACTACATTCCTCCCTAAACAAGTATTGATTCGATCTATATCGATGATTCGACTATAATGGTAATCAAATCTATGACTAGGGATCACAAGAACTCGATTCAACAATGCTGCAAAGAACATGTGTTTCTCCAAGCAAATCAAATGATTACTCATTTGACCAGATAAGCAAATTGCGAATAGAAACTTATCCGGTTTAGGTTTCCATTGAATCGTCTTCCTTCCGGTTAATTTCTGATCAACTTTCCGACAACTACCCACCGGAGACGAACCGGTTTTATGCGGAGACAGTAATGCATTTTGGATCTGTCTATTCAATGAAATCTGCCGGAAAACTGCAGATTTCACGTCTTCGATCGATAAAGTGTGGTTCCAGATTGAGAAGAGATCGATTTCTTGCTTCCGGAGAAGATACAATGCTTGAAGATCCGATTCTTGAGCTCGAATTGAACCGGTTTTTGGCCGGAATACAGAATCGGGAACTTCGACTGAGAAGAAGTAGTTGCTGAAATCGGTAGATAAGTAAACGAAGACGAAGATTAATGGAAGGAAGATGATAATGAGCTGTTTCTTAGTGAGATTGAGCTTGAAACTCCGACTTAATCGTGATCGGAGACTCTCCACGGCGAAGGTTGCGTCGATCTCGTCGCTTTCACGAGAACGGTCGATTTGAGAATCTGATTCATCGAGTAGATTCCGGC